AGAAGTTTATGAAAAGGCACCAAAGGAGAACACTAATTTTTTAAACTTTTCATTTTGAAATAATTTCAGACTTAGAAAAATAGCTGCAAAAACAGTGCAAAGAATTCTCATATATCCTTCAGCCTAGATGCCCCAAATGTTTACATCTCATGTAACTATAGTACAGTTACCAAAATCAGGAAATTAATATTGATGTGCAATATAGTATCTCATCTAAAGATGTTATTCAAATTTCACCAATTGTCCCAATAATATATATTTTTTCTGGTCCAGGAGCCAATTCACATTTACAGGATGCATTTAGTATTTATGTCTCCTTAGTATCCTTTAATTTGGAACCATTTTTTAGCCTTTCTTTGTCTTTAATGACCTTGGCACTTTTGAAAAGCATGGGCGGATAATTTTGTAGGTTATGTTTTTGTTTGGGCTTGCCTTTTGTTTCCTCATGATTAAATTCTCAGGTTACGCCTTTCGGGTAAAAATACTACAGAAGTGATCTTGTGTCCTTCTGAGGCTCGTATCAGGAGCACATGGTGGCAATTCGTCCCATTACTGGTGACGCTAACTTTGACCGCTTGATTAAGGTGTTGTTTGCCAAGTTCCTCGAATGTAAAGTGACTGTTTTTCCCTTTGTAATTAATAGGTATCTTGAGGGGAGATATTTTGAGAGTATGTAAATATTCAGTCTTTATATTTTTGCCTGCTAATTTAACCATCCATTGCTGATGCTTGCCTGAGGCAATAATTACTGTGGCATTTTCCAAGTAGTGGTTATCACGTTCCATCATTCCTTCACATCTGTTAGTTGGAATTCTGCTGTAAAGTAGAACTTTACCTTATCTCCCCTGTTTACATATTCATGCAGTTTTTTGTATCATTATACATTCATGGGTGCTTGTTTCACTCTATGAAACTACAGCCATTATTTATTTTGTTTAAAGTGTGCCCGTGTTGGCCAGTGGAAGCCCTTCATGTTGTCTTCTTTGTTCTTCTGATGTGTCCCCATCAGTTTTGGGGCACTTACTTGACTTCTGGCACAGCAGTGCCCCAGGCTTATCCGGCTGCATCCCTGAAATAAGTCTTTTCTCCAAAGAACCCTGGTCAGAGAAGAACATTTTAGACGGCATTAGAAGCTTTGAAATTGCCCAGAGAAGCTAAAAATATCCAAATACTGTAAAGGTATTTGCTTTCCTATGTACCAACAGAGTTGTCAGTACAAGTTCTAAAAATGTTGTAAGCGTGGTTGATAATGTGGCAAAAATATCTATTATTTTAACCTTTGACATACCAAGAAAAATAATTATCACATTTACCATCTGGGCCCATTGAACCCTTTTTATTTTTTTATCTTTTTAGTCATTTGGTAAATAATTTACAAAAGTAAGAATAAAGACATAGTGAAAATAACAGAGTAAGAATTTAAATATAGCAAACCAAATTTTTATTCCATATTTTATTCCATATTCTATTTTATTCATTATTCCATATTTTATTCCATATTCTATTTTATTCATTATTCCATATTTTCCTGATTTTAGAGTCATAGATTTATACACACACACACACACACACACACACATATATGTGTGTGTATATATGGGCAGTGACCTTTGAATGCAGCTAGCTGCTCATCACCTGTCATATATGAACATGGAACATACTTATTGCATAAGTACTAATTCCAGATTTTAAACACGTCTCTAATAAGTCTTGCGTATCATTACTTTTGGTTTTCTGGCATGTGTATTGTCACAATGCAGTAGTTTTGAAAACTCTGAAGACTCAGAATTTTGTAGAAAAGAGATGGCCATCTTTTTCCATAATTAAAAAGCATTTTTGTTTTTCGATTTATAAACACCAATTAGATTGATCAACCCAATGATCTTTTTTTATATGTACATAATTTATTTTCTTCCAGTCACCTTTGTACATATACCTGCCTTCAGTATTTGTCCATTTCTGAGTCATATCAAGTAAATTTTGATACACAGAACAAAAAAAAATATGAAATACTGTTGTCACATGAGCATTTAACAAAACAAGATGGTCCAAGTTCTTGTTGCAAAACATTACATGATGAAGTCCTTCCTATTGAGTGACTGAGAGTATCATATTTCCTTTTTGTTTACTCCTTGATACTTGAGTTTGAGAAAATTTACCTATCCTAAAGTCTCAAGGAGCCCTGGTGGTCCAATAGTTAAGCACTTGGCTGCTAACCGAAAGGTCTCCTCAGGAGAAAGACGTGGTGATCTTCTTCCGTAAAGATTACAGCCAAGAAAACCCTATGGGACAGTTCTCCTCTGTTCCATGGGGTCTCTGTGAGTCGGAATTGACTCACTGGCACCCATCAGCAATGACGACTCATAGTCCACTGCTTTGCTTATAGGGTCAACTTCATTCTCATCACTAGACTGCTGCTGTCTGTCTCTTTGCCTTCATCTTCCAACTCACCTAATAATTGTGAAATATCTTCCTCTGAAAATTTCCGTCTCTTTTTCCATTATGGGCAGAAGGGAAAAATTTCTGAATTCTTAACTATGTTCAATGAAAATTAAAAAGAATATGACAAAGATTGTGTCTCCCAGATTACTTTTATACCTTCTTGAAAGATGATGCTTCAGTTGGGACAACACAGTAAGAAAACTGAAGAATGGTGAAGTAGTGGTGATTTATTTATTTATTACTTTCTAGGCAATTCTGTAATTTTTTGTTAATATTTTAGTCATTTTTAGCATAGTTGGGAATAACTGATGAGCGATGATGAAATAATTCCCGTAATGATGAAATAGCAAAATGTTGCAAGATATAGTGAAAATAAGATGACTAAGATCCCATGATGTATCTTCGACTTATAAAATTATCAGTGGACCCCAGTTATAATGGTAAGAGAATGAGGTTTATTTTTAGTAAAAAATAAGTAATTTTTCTCTTTGATCTTTGGAAGACCTCTAAGAAACAGTAAAAATCCTGAAATATCAATCCTTCCAAATAGTTAGAACTTAGCTCAACCAAGAAACTAAGAAGTAAAAATTGGATGCAATGTACCCTGATCATATTCCAGAGTTTCAGAAGTTTGATTCAGTCAAATAGTGAAGAAAAGGATTATTGATAAGACCTGTTCTTCTTTCAACCTGGTAATACCCCAGAATTGAATCCTGAATGAAGCTAACCTCTTGATTTTATTATTTTGTTACCTTGGAGATCATATTATATTTTAAAGGAATATGCAGATTTGATGAGCTCTGAGTAGTTAGAACTAGACCAGGAGTCCAACAAATACAGCTCTAGGTCAGGTTTGGACATGAACTAGTTTCTTTGGGCTGAGCAGTCATGGAAGCACCAACAGTGGAAAGAGCAGTAGGCTTTGAATCAGAGCCACGACAAGAACCTACTTGTTGGAACTCTGGACCTCCCTGCATCTCAATTTTCTGATCTTTAACAGAGGTAACAAAATCATGCCTTAGAGGGTTGTTGGGAATATTTAATGAACTGTACTGTACTAGAAACTGTAAGACCTCAGAAGGGTGCAGCTGTGTCTAGAAGTGTCTAAGTATTTACTGAATAAATGAATACATCTTGTTAAGGGAGTTTATAAACCATACATTATAAATTATAAAATGTTCTTCAATTAGAATATCATTGTGTTCGTGCTTAATACATTTGTATTGAGTGCTATACAAATTTAAGGTCTATAATCAGCACCTTCTTCCACACAGACTCATTGTTTTATCAAATCAAGGAAAAGTGTCAAAGGAAAGCTTTGGAACATTTTCTGGAACTTTGTGTTTAAACTGTAGCTTTGAATGTGTGTAGTCTTGTCCGTGATTATTAAGACAGCAGGCAATTTTTCATTGTCTTTTTCCTCAATTGGCTGACTGGTTCATAAATTCAGACATTTTCATTGTGGTATCAAATTTTAAAGTAAAATGTCTTTTATATTCTTTGAGCTTTCATAGTCCAAAAATAATTAGTTTGGGTTTCTCTTTTAACATCAATAAAAATTCAGAAATCTCTTTGCCTGTCTTTTCTTTCTCCTTTAAGTCAGTTATTACAAGTCTTATGAGAAATTGACTTGTATGATTTCTGTAACCATCTGTATCTTTGCCACTGTTTTAACATAGTCTCCATTCCATATGTAAGCACACCAAGGCTTTTGAGAAATCAATTATAAAGTGATAGCCCTTTTTTTCTTGTTGAGCTGTGTAGCCTACTCAGCAAAGAGAAGGATTGGGACTAACTTGATTTACACGTGTAACTTGTTTAACTCACTAATTAATCTGGATGGAGTAATTGCTCAGTTCAGGATCTGGCTGTAAATTAAGTGAATGCTTACTCGATTACCATTCATGTTACCCTGAGAAGTCTCTTGTTCCTTGACGGAGAAACTAGAATCTAAGGCTGACGGCTCTCAGCTTGACCCATGGTTTATCTCTTATGGATGTTGGCCAGCGTTTGGATTATCAACATGTCGTCAGCCTCGCTGTGTGGTTTGTTATACGTGCGACTCTCTGTCCTTCTGTCCTGTTTGTCTCTCTTACTGGCTTACAGGCCCACTAAAGGTAAGAGCCAAAAGTCCTGGATGACCTTGAACTGAAAATATCATAGAGGAAATTCCTGAACTGGGAGTGAGACTTGACCAGATACTATTTCAGGTCTCTTGTAGCTCTTCTAACTCTGTACTTCTATTATATACCAATAAGCATGTTGTTAATTGCCATTGGGTCGATCCCAATTCATGGCAGCCCCATGTGTGCAGAGTGGAACTGCTCTGTAGGGTTTTCAAGGCTGTGACCTTTCAGAAACAGATCACCAGACCTGTCTTCCTGAGGTGTCTCTAGGTGGGTTCGAGCCACTAACCTTCCAGCTAGTAGTCGAGCGTTTAACCATTTGCACCACCCAAGCATGTAGAACATTTACTGTTTCGTGATTCTTCAGTAGCACCTGGGTGCTGTCTCCTTACTGCTGTTTCACAGATTCCATTTTGTTGTTCCCTCCCTTAGATTTTTATTAACAACGAGTGGCAGAACTCAGAGAGTGGGAGAGTGTTCCCTGTGTATAATCCAGCCACCGGGGAACAGGTGTGTGAAGTTCAAGAAGCAGACAAGGTATGTCTTTCTTAGAAAAAGATTCCCTCTGAAATAACTAGCTTCAAACAGCAGATCACTAAGCATACGCTCTCCAGACAGCACCACTGACTTCCCTTGGTCTGTTTTGTGAGAGCAGGTGGTTCTTCCCTCTTTGGAGTGCCACCTCGCTCCAGCTGTGCCTCACCCTCTCCAACAGGCAGACATAGACAAAGCGGTGCAGGCAGCCCGCCTGGCTTTCTCTCTTGGTTCCGTGTGGAGAAGAATGGATGCTTCGGAAAGAGGACGCCTGTTGGATAAGCTTGCAGACTTGGTGGAACGAGACAGGGCAGTTCTGGCAGTAAGTAGCCTAAGAAATCATTAAGACTTTCCCACAAACTTACATTCCAGATTCCTCGGTCTTTCTTTGAAAATACGATGTGAAGCCGACCTGGAGAAAAGCTAAGGGGGCAGGGAAAATGAGAGGTGCTTGGCTCTTAGGATTAGGCAGGTGATCAGCCCAGTCTCTTCTTGCAGAATTTTCCAGAAAAAAACCATGACGATGAGGACCTTCCTTCCTCCCCACCCCCAGCTCTTGCCAAACAAAACAAAAAAGCAGGGGCGTCACCGCGCTGCCTGCAGAAAACCAAAGCAGACGATTCTTCTGAGAAAAAAACGGGACTAGTTTTTACCTCCCAAGAGCTAACTCCTTTTGACTAAAGAGAATCCTTTAGATGCAGAGGGTGTGATATGGATGCTTCTGCTACATTTGTCCTTCTGTCACTTTCTAGAATTAATAAAAAGGAGAGAGCAGGAGACAGCGACTTTCTTTCACTAAAACCTTCATTTTTTCACCTAAGGAGTTTCTCCTAGTGTCTTTGTTGTTTTAATGAAGGCCTGTTTCTTAGAGAATACAGAGCTTTTGGAAACTGGAACAATTTAGGAATGCGTCTGTTGTAGACCAGAGATCTCCAACCAGATGACCCACAGTTGATCGTTGATCAGTTAATATCTGGGGTTTCTTGTTCAGTCAGGACAGTCAAGCTGTGGATACTGTCACCCGCCCTGTACTTGGGAAAACAGATCATTATTGGGCTTGGGTTGGGGAAGGGAAGTATTAGTGCCCTTCCCCAGTATTGCTGTACCACGGCTTTTCCCATCTACCATCTCCCTCAGAGACGCTTCCGTGAGATGTGCAGGTGCCTTGTGAAAAAGGTATCCCATGGTGAAGTAGCTCCTTCATGGAGATTCACGGAACAGGAAAGGCTTTGAAAAGCCCTACTCAGCGTGGAATACAGGGGGGCTCCTGACCAGAAAACGAACGTTAATACTGTACCCAGATAAACACAACAGAAAATAGACCTAGAGCTGGCAGTTCCCAGGTGAATTTGGCTGGTGTCAACTCAAAGAGACCATTTAGGAGGCCATATTTTGGTCATTGACTCTACTTCACTCTGTTCTGTGTGGAGCTTGGTTCTGTGCTAGCTGGGTTCTAACCCTGGAGAGTGTAATACCCACTTCCTGAACGTGTAAATGTTCTGATAAGTAACAGGAAATAGTTCAGACTGATCACCTTTAACAAAGGTGGGCCAGTACCCAGTGCCAGGTAACGTGATACTTTAAAATGAGCTCATCTTGTATACACGGTAAGTGGATAAATTGCATTGCAAGTAGTAATATTGAATGGAGACTATTTCAATTTTAGTTTGTGCTCAGTTTTCACACCAGTATATGTTATAAAATGTCCTTATGGAGAAGGAAATGAGATAACAAACATGTTTTTGTTTGTTTCATTTGTGAAACTTATAACACTTCTCGTCTCTCCCAAGTGAAAATGTTCTTTTTTCATTTCAGTACGTTCATTTGTCATTCTGTGTATTACAGACTTAACTGATGTAGAAATACGTCATTAAAATAATGACATCAGCGAAAGCTGTCTAATATCACCATTTTCGTTAAATGGACCAGTACTTCACTCTTAATAGATAATGGTTGTTAGCGTAAATGTTTACCAAAAGCCAGCCTTTAAGTTGTCGAAGTGTGCCCTTCCCTGGAGAAGGTCTTGTTTATTCGGTGGTAATAAACAGACTAGCTGTGCACCGTGGATATTGCATTTCTCAGCAGGGGGTTGGCAGCTGCGGAGGACTTTTTAAATTCTCATCAGTTGTATAAAGAGCCCGTGTCCTGCTCCTCTTTATGGGTTCAGATTACCGACGTGGACTCCGAAAGATCTCCACTCAGCTGTGGCCATGGCTGTAACAGAAGCTGGTTTGACAGGCAGAACATTGCTTTATCGTCCGTGAAATAAACGTTGTGTCTGTATTTGGATAGTGGTCACTGGAAACACTCACAGCAACGTGCACATGTATTGTCACTGTGGGTCTTCCTGGAAACCAAACCGGACTGGTAGCTCTAAAAACCACTTTATTTGGGAGATCAGAGTTGCCCAGGTGTGCCTCACCATGCACAGCCTTCCTTTGTTATCCTGCCCCAGAGATTATTTAGTGTGTCCTGGAAAGTGCTGGGGACTTAGCGTCTCTTCCTCTCTTTTCCCACAGACCATGGAGTCCCTCAATGGTGGCAAACCATTCCTGCAAGCTTTTTATGTGGATTTGCAGGGCGTCATCAAAACCCTTCGGTATTATGCAGGCTGGGCTGATAAGATCCACGGGATGACCATCCCTGTAGGTATGTGAAATCCGGATAGGTTGCAAAGGGGAGACGTGGAGTTCCACCAGAAACACACTTTCGCCACCAAACACAGCCAGCAGCCACATGGAATGCAGATCTTTGCACACTTACAGCATCTTGAGCTGAGCAAAGAGCGACCAGATGATGTCCCTGAGTCTGACATGCTCCTATTTCTGGGGCCGTTGCACGTCTAAGTGTCAGGGCAAGCCACTTACATCAGTACATCACTTAGTCAGTGAACAGGGAGAGATTTGTCACCTGCTCAATGCTTAGCACTGGGCTGGTTAGGTACTGGGGTGTGGAGGGGTGGTGGGTGGAGGGGAGGTTGGGGAAAATTCCACAAAAATTAAGACTCAGTGCTTGCCCTCTTGAAACATCAGCACTACCAGCTTGGAAGGAAATACTCTAAAATGTCATAGTTGTTGTTGCTTCTAGTGATGAGATTACGGTTGATTTTTTATTTCTTTTTTATGTTTTTCTATATTTCCTATACCAAAACCAAACCTACTGCTGTCAAGTCGATTCCGACTCATAGCAAACGCGTAGGGTCTCTGAGGCCGTGAATCTCTGCGGAAGCAGACCGCCACGTCTTTCTCCCGCGGAGCTGCTGGTGGTTTCACACCACTGACAGTTTGGTTAGCAGTTGATCGCTTTAACCCACCACCAGAGTTCTGTATATTGTCTATAATGACCGTGAATCACATTGAAAACCTGTAAAACAGCAACAATCCTGGCACCCCCTCCCCGGTTTTTTAAGGTGAAGGTCAGGAGACAACACCAAGAACACAAAGCAGAGGTCTCTGCCAGAGTCACAGCTCGGTGTGGAGCTGCGTGGCGTGGCTGTCAGGGCTGGGCAGCTTAAGGGAAAGGGACGTTTCTAAGGCTGAGGTAGCTGGCGTAGCAGCCCTGAGCTGAGGTCCCATACTGGTGGTGACTAATACCTACGGTAGCAGCAACCCCAGGAGGAACGTCCTGTCATCAGCATCCCCGTGTACAGAGGAGGAAACGGCCGGCCAGAGAAGTTACATCGTTTTCCCAGTTCACAGAGCAAATAATGTTTTTGAGCCCCACGTTTGACGTTAGAGCCTAGGCTCTTGGTCCTTCCCTGGAGGATTTACTTCAGCTACCGGAAGGAAGCGTGCTCATCGCCCAGAGGACCGACTAGAAGAGAGATGAGGACGTTGGGAGTAGGGAGCGCTCACAGGGAAGGAAATGCATGTTTGCTCAGTAGCTGGTGGACGCTGCTGAGTGCTGTGCCAGGTGCTGTACCTGAGCTCTCTGCACAGTGGCCTGCTTCCCGTGGAGAGCGCACCCTAGGAGGAGTGGAGCGTGGTGCTGAGTACTTTGGATGACCCCTGTCGGGGCCTTGCCGGCCAGGCTCCGGAGTGTCCGTGTACCAGAAGAGGGTGTGGTCTGGCTGGTAGTGCAGTGGATTAGAGCCAGCCTCTCAGACTTTAATGTGTATATGAATCACCTGTCATCTTCCTAGAGTGCAAACTCGACTTGAGTTGGCCTGGGGTAGGGCCTGATTCTGCATTCCCCGCCAGCTTCCAGGTGATGCCCGTGTTGCCAGTCCTTTGCCCTGAGCAGCAAGGAGAAGGTGTGGGCACCAGAGCCAAGCCGAGTGCCTGTTGCCGTACCTCATCTAGGCATGGGGTGATGAGGGAAGATGCCACAGGGAGATTGGACAAGGGGCAGAGACAGAACTTTCCAAATTACCCCCGCGAGTGATGATGGCCTGTGGAATTTCAGCCTTTAGAGAATGGATTTCAGATTATACGCTCCCTTCCCCACCAGCCAGAGGTTTTCCTTGTTCACCAGGTTGAGGGATAGAGCAGAAACTTCTTAGAGAATGTCAGAATCTTAGTTCAGCCCTGGCTCTAAGAATATTACAGAACCACCGTGTCCAGCATCTCTTGCAGGGTTGGGGATGGCCTGAGTGAGGCACAGTCACCGTGAGGTATGAGTCGCCTACTGGAGTGCTCCGGAACAAAAACCTTTACCTAAAGATGGGGAATCTGTCAGCCTTTTTAGGTTGGCTTCTCTTATTTCAGTGAAGAAAGGTAAATTAATAAGATCAAAGGCGTAGTTATTATGCCTCCCACCCCACATGGCGTTTCACATCAGAACAACAGATGTGTTTCGGGCATTTGAATCTCTTTTCAGAAGATTTACAACTGTCTTAGGAATAAGACGAAACAGGAGGAAGACTGTGCGCGTAGATCTCTGTTTGGCTGACAATGTCTTGGTTTTCTTCTACTTCCTCAGGAGAGAAGACCCTGTTAGATAAGTTTATTGGCGCCCCTGAAAATGTGTGATGCCTTCATGTAATTTTGTCTGGGGTTAGAGGTGATTGGTTCATAAGTCTTAGGTTTTCATCTGATGCTATTTGGGGACCCCAAGGATGTTGACCTAGGAGTTAGAAATACCGAACTTTGAGAATGGTTTCAAGAAAATACTCTCCTACCTCTACTCATAAACTGATGTTCAGTCTGTGAAGGAGAAAAAATAGGGAATTCTCTTAAACACTAAGTAATTTTTTGTTTCCCTAATTATTCTTAAAGTACGTTTCGAGGGGTATCAGGGTGCAGGGCTCTCTATGAGGTGAGGTCTATGCTCAGACCTCGTAGGAGGCTGGGGTCTGGGGTGTAAGCACCCTCGCTGTGACACCTCATGCAGATGAGGGAAGGATGGAGGCGAAGGTGCACTTGGAAGCCCACTTTCATCTCTGCTCCAGCTATAGAAACATTGGGGCTGGCCTGTGGGCCACCGAGAGTTCAGCCAGCGACTCTTTGGACTAGTCCAGTGCTTGGTAAATTTAGCTGATAAACCTGGAGGCTCACAGGGACATACGAGGGAAGTGGGAGGTGGTGGTCATATTTATTTATTTATTCTTACATGTGTCAATCAGTCCATTTGTGTTTATCATTTGTAACTCCATAATTTAACATCAGCCTGACTGTCTTCACATACTTGACTTTTCCAACAGTGAAATCTGGAAGTAAGAAGCCTTTAACCTTTCACCACGACCACGAGGTCTTTATTGCATGACACGCATTTCCCTGTGACACCCTCATTTTATGTTTGGGATTTTCTTCCTCTACTAAACACAGCTTCAGCCCCTCCTTCATTCACTCATTCATCCAACAGATGTTCTTTGAGCACCTGCTATGTTTCAGGAGCCCTGGTGGCACAGTGGTTGAGAGCTACGGCTGCTAACCAAAAGGTTGGCAGTTCGAATCCAGCAGATGCTCCCTGGAAACCCTATGGGGCAGTTCTACCATCCTATAGGGTCACTATTGAGTCAGAATCGACTTGACAACACGGGTTTTGCTTTTGGCTGTGTTTTAAGCACTGTGTTAGGCACTGGGGATATACAGGGGAGCATGAAAGAGTTCCCGCTCTTAAGATGTTCATCGAATATTAAGGGAAACAAGTAAATACACAGTTGGAATAGTGTGACTCAGCTAGTACTAAGGCTGGAGTGGGGCCCAGCGTTCTAGGAAGGCTTCCTAAAGAAGGAGCTGGGACGTAGAGGATGGTACCTGAAGTGCAAGTAGGTGAAGGTGGAGGTAGGGGCAGCATGCCAGGTGGTGGTAAGAGTCTATGCAAAGCGTGGAAGGAAGTGAGCACAGTGTGCTAGTGGATGGGAACGTGTAGCCAGATACAGATCTGGGCCCAAGTTTTCTCCATAAGCAATGATGAGTCACTGAATTATTTTAAATAAATGAGTGCCTTGATAAAAATTGCATCGTAGAAAGAGTACTTTGACTACATACCGGATAATGAATTGGGGAAGGCAAGTATCTGCTTTGTCTCTCCTGGTGAAGGGTAGCCTCCTCTAGAATATTTGAGAAGAGGAGAGAAGGCCACTTTTGAGCCGTCCACATGACAGCTGTTTCTCCTCCTGAATGGGTGGGGGGGCTCTCCCCTCTCCGCTCCAGCTCACTCAAGCCCCAGAGTCAGATGTTACTAGACAGTTAGGCAATCCCAGTTTGATCCACAGGGGTCTTGATGTTGCTCCTTTTACAACACTGTCCATTACTTCCCATCATGGTACCCAAAGGAGCCATTCTCTCTGACCATAAATCCCACGCTTTGACCCTTGTGCTAGGCAACCCCTAATTATGATGATAAATAATCATGACGGTGATTTATTGAACACTTTCTTTGTTCCTGTTGTATTATCTCTACTCTTGCGGCAGCCCTGCAGAGGAGGTATTATTGTCCTTGTTTTGATGATTTTTAACCTATATCAAAGTCCTGCTCATACGTCCTCTCCTCTCATGTCTATAATCTCTGTGATGGAGGAGGAATCAAAGCTTGTCTTCACTTTATAGAAGGAGAAATGGAGGTTAATTGAGGTGCATTACCTTTGATTTTTCCCTCTAACAATGTTGGTTTTATTGATTTTGTGATATGTAAGCAGAGAAAACGTAGCCAATGCTTTAAGCTGAATTCTGACCTCTCCCCCCGCCAAAAAAAATGCCCTCATGATATAGTAGCATATGGAAAAGGTTGAAAAACTACCCAAGTTATAAGTAATTGTTTATCCACTTCACTTCCCTCTGAATTCTCCTGTTAAAGAGAAGTCTAAAAATGCACAGACAATGGCCCAGATCTGAAGGTTTTCCCTTCACTGAGTTTAATCCAGTGTCAGTGGCGAGGGGACCTGGTAGAACCTTGTTGCTCGGTCAGAACCAGAGAGGACTGATATGCTCTGCCCACCTGAGAAGAAGGGGGTGGGTGGTTAGTAGGACCTGAGTCGGTGGTGACAGGAGGCTGTCAGGTCTGTACTTCACATGTCACCTCCTCGAGATGTTAAGGCTGAAAAGGACCTTGAGGATCCCTACTCCTCATTTTATGGACAAAGAAACTGATCTTCAAGATCACGTAACAGGTTAGTGGTAGACTAAGGTGCCTTCATGACGGACTCAGGAACATGTAATCCAACTCCTTAGAACCTGCCAGCAGACTCCTGGGAAGAACAGTGTTCG